AGATTTCCGTTTGACAGTAATCAAGTTATCACACCCGCATCAAACACACAACCACGGAACATAATATCGTATAAAAGTAATTTCGACGATAGACTTATTTAAGCGAAATATAAGAAAAAGTAAACCTATACTGCCACAACTTTGTTGTATTTCAAGTAAATTAAATTATATACCTACATAACTTTATATTTTGGGGACATAAATAATACGTTTTTGTCAAAAATTAATTCCATAGTGGCACAGCTTTTAATGTGCCGGTATAAACTAAAAAATAAGATCTTTTATTGAAAGTTATAAAAGACGTAAATCCAATATTTACTAAAATAATTGAAAAAAAATATTCAAACTTTTAAGTCGCACTGGCCCAACTTAAAAATATATCAGTATTGCTTTAACAAATTTTACTTACTTGGATCAATAGCACAGTCAAAATTAAAATTTGCCAGTTTTCCACGTACAAGCAACACAAACACACCGAAAGTTAACAGCATACTAAATATGTGTCGGTATAGTGCTGCCCCTCGAGTGACATGCAGGGAAATAAACACGTGGCACAATGCTATCTACGGTATTCTATGAAGACTATCTTTATGCCGGTTTGATCCATTGAAAATGTGCCACTTATGCACCATTGAAAATGTGCCACTATATAACTCAGTGAGCGATATGTACATATGGAAAATCAAGGAAAGAGGGGATCATTTTTACTGTATAGCACGGTTGGGTGATTCAAGAGTGCAGATCTCCACAGAATAACAAGATGAGGAGTTAGTAGATTATCTAAGAAGAGAAGGTCCTCTTGCAATAGCACGAAAAGCTAGCGAAGAGATAGCGTTTCCGGGCAGCATTCGCACTGCACGTAAAGGAATTAAAGCAAGTGAATTGATAAATTGTGCAGCTGCAAGGAAAACTTTTTGACTGAGAATCACAAGAGGAGACGGGTTGCAAATTGTAATAAGTTCATAAACCTTGACGCCAACTTTTGGTCTGAGTTGAATTTTCCGATAAAAAAGTATTTAAATCATATAACTATGGTGGAATAGAGTTTATAGACCGAGAAATCATAGATTTTGATGAACGGTATTCTCATTTAAAAATAGTAGAGGAATCTCAGTCTAGGGCGTTTGTTTTGATATAGAAGAAAAAGTAACAAGATTATATTACAACCATATGCTTGAGAACAACATGATAATTGCCCGATGCATACAAGTAGAATTGTTCGAGAATGGTTGGAAAAAATTCATGTTAATGTTCTTCCGTGGCCTTCCTGCAGTCCAGATCTTAACCTCATCAATCGAAAATGTGTGGGTAGAGTTAACAAAGAAATTTAATGAAAGAAACCTTAGCCCACGGAATAGAGTTGAACTATTGGAAGCAGTTGTGCAGGCATCGAAGTAGCTTGTTGAATATAACATGAGGAGATTCGTGCTGTCTATGAACATAAGATTATATTATCTATAAGAATAAGCAAAGTTGTATTGATAATAATAGGGCTTCCACCAAATATTAATGTTTCTTTTGATCATTATTTAACATAAAATAAAACGAATGTTTTTATCCCAGATTTCCTTATTTTCATTTTCAAGAACATAATTTATTTTATTTCAAAAAACTTCTTTCTATAATTTCTATTTTGTTACATTTCACAAAATAGATTTATTTAATTTAAATTTTTTAATTTTAATCAACCTATTCTGGGCACGTCACTGGTAAGTAACATCACTTTGGCCGTTGATTTGGATTATTCAATCAACGCTTTGGCTTAAAATGTGCTTTTAACCGAGGTAAAGAATTCATAAAAATCGGCTACTATAGTCAGAATCCAGAATTCGAGGCAGTAAATTCTTGGAAGTAATAGTGACGTTTCAGCGCTTCCAATGGCGTACGAAAAATTTCATAAGAAGTTACGATAAAGTTACTTGTATTGGAGAAATACCTATTTATAATATGTATCACGTTAATGTACGAATATGATTATTATTGGCATTTAATTAATTTCAATAAATAATTTTAAGTTAGTAGGTAAGAGTTAAACCTCCCTAAAACCGCGTTTGACATACACAAACATATTGTAAATATTTTGCATTTTTTACACAGTAGTTTTTTCGACAGCTAAGACAGGAAGTCGTAAAATTTTAATACATATTTCGGTGTGAGATAAAATTCTGAAATCGGTCTAATTATTTCATTAGATTTTTTATTTTATTTATCGTATGTCAATTACAACACATTTAGAACAAAATTACAAACACTGGTAATATATGACAAACTTTAAATAGTTACAAACAAATATCAATTGTATTTATATAATCAATTGACTCTGAAGTTGCAAATAGGAAGTCTTCAGGGCTACCATTGTAGGATCTTGAGAGACACCCTTCAATAATGTAGTCGATGGTTTGGTTCTCCTCACAGTCACATTGAGGAGACGGGTTTATTCCCTATTTATGTAGCATGTATGCACATCTGCCATGTCTGGTTCGGATCCTACTTAGAGTGGACCATGTTTTGCGTTGAAGATCAAAACCTGGTGGCTTGTGGGTAATGCAGGGTATGTTATTTTGCCATGCGTTCCATTCTTGGGACCATGCATTCGTGATGTTGAACTCCTCATGTATCATTCTTGCCGTTTTCATTGGTGGTTTTCTAGAACGGAGACAGATATTTCGTGCATCCTCGGTATCTTGTGGATCGGCAGGTTTATATTGTTCATGATCTTTTTGTATTCACGTGTAAGTGCGTTAACTCGTCGTAAATGTGGAGGTGGGATGTGACTTAATACTGGAAGCCCTTGGGTGAGAGTTGATTTAATTGTACCAGCTATTATCCTCATAGTGCTGTGCAGCTGAGTGTCGACTTTTTTACGTGTGGACTGTGTAGCCAAATTGGAGCACAATATTCAGCGGTCGAGAATCCCTCTCGACACACACTCCCCAGGTGGCACCGCAGAGCTTCTGTATAATGTTATTTCTTGTACTCAACTTTTGGGCAGTTTTGGTTAAATGCTCTTTAAATAATAGCGTTCTGTCTAGTGTTACGCCCAGGTACTTCGGTGTTTTGTTGTGGGTAAGTGTGGTATTTTCAAACCGTATGTTGAGTTCCTTTCCAGCAAGTTTATTGTTCAGGTGAATTTTAATACATATTTCGGTGTGAGATAAAATTCTGAAATCGGTCTAATTATTTCATTAGATTATCAAGGCAGTAAACACGTATTTTAGTGTTTTGAGCAATAATGTATCTCTTAAAAACAATAAAACCAGAGGTAAAAACGCAACCAGTTTGAAGATGACAGGAAATATGCCATTCGGAGGAAATTCCACACTTTCTTTTTTCGGATCATTACCAGTCCCAACCTTAAAAATGTTGAAGTCGAAATAAATTCTGATGATTCAATGTCCAAAATATCACGACGTATTTTATTACGAACATCAGGGCAACTGAACATCAAATATATGAAAACAAGCAGGAATAGTGTTCTTTTAGAAAAAGATGAAATTATCTTGTCCCGGAGACATTACTTACAGAAAATCCGAGAGTATCGTCGTGAAGGGCGAAAAGTGTACTATTTAGATGAAACTTGGCTAATTCAATGTCATATTGTCTCAAAGGTGTGGCAAGATTTGAAAATTAAAAGACGTCGACAAGTCTTCAGTGAAGGGTTTTTAACAGGTTTGAAAATACCAGTAGGTAAAGAACGGAGGCTGATAATACCACATATAGGCAGCGATTCGGGTTTTTTGGACAACAGCTTGTTACTATTCGAATATAAGAAAACCAACGATTACCAAGAGGAAATGGACGCTCAAATATTCGAAGGTTGGTTTTCAAATCTTCTACCAAACTTCGAAGCAAATTCTGTCATTGTTATGGACAATGCGTAATAACACAGTCGACTACTATAATCGGGTACTATATTATTATATCTATACTTTTGGATATGTAAGGGTGTATTTCTACTAGGATACTATTCAATTTCTCCGCAGCAGTAAATCAGCGCTTCTCAACCTTTCAGTATTCGTGCCCAATTTTCAATTTCGATTTTTATGTTTTCAATCCCCTATTTTTTATTTTTTATATAATAGTAAAATACGACGTATATTATACGTTGAAAATTTTGACCCTACTAATTCTCTTAGTAGAGCGTGTTGTTAGTGCAGGACGCACAAAACTCTGAAGCCGGCTCTGTAAATCATTACAATATTTTCTTAATTTTCTCAGCATTTAGATACTGCATATGGTCTTCATCCGTCGCCAGATCTGTTGGTAACCATCATCAACAGATTTGAGCATATTATATACAGCTACATTAATTTCCAACATTAACACCCATTCTATGTACATTTCCTTTCTATTTATCCATAGCTTCCGCAACATATATTTTGTTGGTGATATCATATGCAAGACGATCATAATGACGACGATCAAGGAAAACATGAAGAACGGCATAACTTCCTTTGAAACACATAGAGGACTTGTAAAATACTAGTTATTGAAAATCGACTTTTTCGCCAAAAAGATCATTTGAGACGCCAACTTAAATATCAATGGAAACACATTTAATAAATCGTCAAAATATCAAAATAGGGGTCAGCAGCAATAACACAAACTAATAATTACCAAAACTTCGAAGCTGTGGGGAAATTCATCTGTCTGGGGATACGGCTCGAGTTCAACAACATATCAGTATCAGTAGGAATTAAAAGAAGTATGTATCATACTCGCAAACGTATGCTACTATTGCCTCCCATCTTAGACAAGGAAAGAGATCCCCACATCACGGCCCTGATTAAACTACATAAAATTAAATTTGACATGAATTTAACTGTTTTCAACATGTTTTATAATGTGGCAAGGCTATGAGCTAAAAGGATTTATCGAGTGTTAAATCCGGTGTAATTGCAACCAACAATGTTTGAATTGAAATTTGACAGTGACAGCTAAGTTCTTAGATGACAATGACAGGTTGTTCGGCGATGACAGTGACAGTAACTTTTTTTTTTGATTGTGAACTACAAGCAAGCTAAGGTTTATGTTTTGGTGTTGGGAATAAAAATATAAGGGAATTTAGCATTATTGTTTAATGAATGACGATAAAATATTTCACGTTTGTTTCTTTAGAATTAATCAAATATCATGGCAAACAGTTCAAATAATGTTGATTCGTATAATTTCAAAGTTGTCTTGTTAGGGGAAGGCTGTGTTGGTAAAACAAGTTTGGTCATACGATACATTGAAGATAAATTTAATCCGAAGCATATAAGTACTATTCAGGTAAGATTTTTCTTATTTACCCTTCATTAATTTTTCATGTTTTGGTTTGAAAAACTGATACGTGAATTAATTCTCCTTTTTTAGAACTGTTTTTCACAACAATACACTAATCTGTTTTAAGTTGCTTAAATTATCTGAATAGTAGCATCAAAGTATTTTTTATTGTTAAACTGTAGATAAATATTTGTTTTGTAAAGGATTACATTAACATTAATCAAACAGTGCAAATGTGTTTCATTATTCTTTAAACAAACAGTTAATTTATTTTTTGTTGTAAAAAATACAAACAAATGAATTATTTATATTATATGATAGCTGTTACTATTTACTATTTTTTTAAAATACATGCGATATATTATAATCCTAATCTTTTTTTTTTTTTCTAAACATAGACAATGCTTCCTAGTCTATAAAAGTAAAAGTAAAGCCATTTTCCCCATAGTAGTCAAGAATAAACTGATAAGTGCCAAAGAGGTAAAATATTACTAATAATGTCAGAAGTTTTTGTAAAATGTTTATAGTAATGTAAAGGGAAAGTATAATACAAAATGCAATATATAAAAGAACTGCTCAAAATGTAGAATATTAGGTACTTAATCTAATAATTGTTACAAAAGCTCATAACCACTGTAACAACAACAGTTTTTTCCCTTTTCCTTATGCTCTTTTAGGAGTGAAATATATTTCAGATATCACCTTGCAGTAGGCAAAAAGAGTGTAAAGTATCAATGGAAAAATAACCATCTAAAGGATCAAGGAAACAAAATAGAGTAAATGAAAAAAACAATAACAGAAATGATAATCATGGTTGGAGACAATTGGAGCATACATAATTGAAAAAACACTATCAAATTTGTAATATAGATTTATTAAATTTCAGTTAAAAATAATATTTTGTTATAGTAAATAATGTTAAAGTATAATGTATTTTCTTGGGGCATTTTAAATTAAATACTATTTAACTGGGAATAAGCCACAATTAGAGATAACAATATGTTTATTGATGTTTCAATTTCCACATTTCCATTTTGAGAACGATTTCCAAAGTGGAAATTGAAATGTTAATAAACATATTTTTATCTTTAATTGAGGCTTATTCCCAGTTAAATAGTAATTAAATCAAATATAAAGTAAAATTTAATGAATCCTTTTGATTATAAAACTTTGGAATGAAGTTAGAACAAGATAAATTTAATGATGTGAATATATTAAGGGTTGAGTACAAGAGATTGATATCTGTATCAAATATTTGGTTCAAGAATGTGGTATGAAATAGGGTGTATGTCTTCTTAAGAAATGAGTGAAAATTTTTAAAATCAATATTAAAAAAGAATGAAATCCTTACAAACTCTTCTACTTTCCATGTGTTGAATATTTAATACTAGTTCTAGTCCTGGTCAATCATTATCTATCTATAACCTAGAGGACAGAAGGTAGAACTCAGGAGACTACCAAGTGATTCCAGAAACATATGGTATGCATCAACTAGACCCATATAAGCTGGTAAAGAGTTCCAGGATTCTAGAATGAGCATTAAAAATAAATAGGAGATGTATAATAGGCTAATTGAATCTGTGAGTTGAACAAAGTACACATTCCAAAATGGCTATTTTTCAGGAACCAAAAAAAAAACTGTTTTTCTGAAAAATTAAATATGTTACAGAAAATGTTTCAATTATGAATTTACTTGTGTAAAATATTTACACAATTAACTATATAAAGTTTATAATTGAAACATTTTCTGTGACATTTAGTTTTGCAGACAAACAGTTTTCTTTGGTTCCTGAAAAATAGCCATTTTGGAATGTGTACCTTTTTCAACTCACTGATTCAATTGGCTGCAGTGTGATATTGATGGATTTAAAAGGAAATAAAATCATTAACAAAAAGGAGTAGATCTATCCAGTAAATGTCATATTAAGTACAAGGAACAATATATTTTTCAAAGTATTTATAGACATTATAATCTTTAAGCATCATCTATAGAATTAGACATTTGTGAGACCTTCCTTGGTCTTTGTCAACAAACCTATAAGCCATATTGGAAGTTGATACATCTTCAGAATTTTTTATTGAATATGTTAGTAACCTCTGCCAACTATATAAACTTTACATGGCTTATTTTATAATTTTAGAGATGTATTTTCAACATTTAAGAAATGAAGAGAACTCAAAAAAATTTAAAGAAATTAATAAGAAATGGCTTTTAAGAAGAATATGAATAACTTACATAGAACTAAGACTTTCTTGTGTATATTATTTATTAAAAAATAATTTAAAAATTTATCCAAAAGGTTTATAAATCTTCAAAATGTTTTCAGTCCTGCCGAATCTTCTTTATCTATCTTAACATTATGTTGCTTTAAAAAAAATTTTTAAACACAATATCGTTATTGGACTATTGTTTGAGTGGTCTTCAAAAATCCACTCTCAGCTGTCTTAAGGACCTGTCAATTTTGATAAAATATTTTTACATCCTTCCTGGCCCAATCAGTTGGCAGTTTCCATTAGTTGGACAAAGTTGTCTCCCCTTTCGAGTAGGGAAGAAGTATGCCCCCTTCAAACTAAATCTTATAACATTGACCTGGTGTCATTAAAATATTAAAATTCACCATTATTTTCATGTAAGATAAGTGTTTCGACATATGTTTACCTATAATAGCTAGTTTCTAACTACTTTTAGTATTAAGTATTATCCACATGTTTTGTAATAACAGTCAATATTTTACCTATAGTTTTTGTCATTTTAATGTGGAAATATACTTTCAGGTTTTTTCACTGATGATGGTCCAACTGGACCGAAAACGTTTTTAAAATTTGTAATCCTTTCTAATAAATTTTTAAATTAGTTTTTAATAAATATATACCATTATACACAAGAAGTTCTTACTTCTATGTAAGTTTTTTAAACCATAATATACAGTCAACCACTGGTATTTTCCCCTTTTACTTTGTTATGAATAAAAATCTGATAAATAGTGGAACAAAAAAGTGAGAAAGAAACAAGATGAGGGTACTTGAGAAAGATAAATAATTTTTACACTCATTTACGGGAATATCCCAATTTGAGATGACTTTCTTTATGCAATATGAAGGTCCTATTTAATAAATACAGATTATGAATAATCAGTTATTCAATTATCATCAATGTTTCTGCTTTTTTTAAGATCAGTTAATACATTTAGCCCCATGTGTACTAGACTGGTGCACAAAATGTTTTTACTTTAGACTGTGTGTACCAGTTTGGCCCACAGTGTTATTAACATACTTAACATACTGTGGTCATGTTTAGTATGTTTGGTCTGAGATGAAAGGAGCATGTTAATTATTGGGTCAATGCTTAACATGTTAAACACACAAGTGCATGTAGTGGGTAAAATCTATTAGTTTATCAAAGAGAGCAAAACAATTTGCTCAAACAATTATCAATAAACAAATCTTCTTAACCAACTTGACGAAAAAGTTAAAAAGAAAAGACTTTAAGACAAAAACTTATCTTCTTTCGCCTGGAAAAAAGGTGTTGTAGAAATGAGAGAATGGAGTTATTAAAAATCCTTTCCATTCACCATAATTTTAGTTTAAGAGGAAAGGCTATTGTAAAAGTCTAAAATAAAGTAGTGTTTTCATTTTTTTTTGTGGAAGGAAAACTATGAAACTAATCATTTTAAGGTTGTAATTAATCATTTTCACTTAATTCCATCTAATTTATTTATAGTTGCACATCATTATCATTGACAGAGATTGAAGTTGACATAAGTGCCAAAGTATAAAAAAATCCTGAATTCATTTTAAATCAAATAGGTCACATAATTATTGCACAAGTGGATTATCCAACAAAACAAATTAATATTTATTGTAAATAAATAGAAACAAAACAAGAGTAAAAAAATAATCTTGTTAAAAACAATTTGAGCCGCTTGTATGTGTCGTATAAAGATGTAAAATAGAATACTTAAACAAAAACAACACTTTTCTAACACCGTTTCAACACCGTAACTGTCAAATAAGTGTTACCAATTTATGCCAAAATATCACCTTCGTTCAATTACAGTTACAGTGTGTTCCGTACAAATGTTCATAAAAATGCTTTATAATGCATTTATACAAATTAAATGAAACATATTATTATGTATTTCCTTATGTTCACATTAATAAAAATCTTTAAATATTATTTCTATGCTTATATAATAAAATATGTCTAGTGGCTGTAATGCCAGTGTACTCAGCAAAGTGATTCTAAAAAAGAACACACCTACTGCCTAAATATTTCGTGTTGGTATCATGTGACCTCTTATGCTATGACACGGATGACGTGCAACAGTAAGTAAATTAGATGAAGTATACAAAAGGATTAATATAGGGCATGTTTAATTTGGTTTGCTCTGTGAGACAAAGTATAACTGTAGCAAATGTGAACCTAAAAAACCTAAAAAATGCTTTTAATTTTCTTGAGTGTAGCTAGAGATATTAATTTTTATGTGATTTGAAAGCAGAAAGAAATAATTCCAGATCATGACTTAAACTCGGAAAACAATTTTTGTCATGACAAGACAATAGATATAAAAGACTATACTCTCTAACAATTGAATTGTTTATTTCGAATCTTTATCACAATAATTAATAAATAATTTCATTTATTAACTAACTTTGTTAGTCTATTAAGGAATATAGCAATTCATGAACTCAGTAATATTGCCTTGCCATCTCTTCTTGAGTCTTTTCACACTTTTTTTGTTTGTTTAGTTTATCTAGAAAGCCAAATCAATGTATGTCCCACATAAGTATCAGAGGGTTGTCACAATATGTGACCTGACTGTTGCCAATTAAGTTTAACCACTCTTTCAAGAATGACCCCTGCTCTCGTTTTTCTTCTAATGACTGAATTTCTATCTTTATTTCTTAAAGTTATTCCTAGCATATCACTCAGCTCTTTGGGAGCTTTTCTGTTTATTTACATTCGAGGGTAATTATTTAAAATAAATAAAGCAATTGTAAGAATGATGATCACCCAACAGCAGTTTCTAAACTCAACAAAAATGAGAAAAAGTCATATTTGGTACATATATTGAAACATTAGGAATATCAGCAGCTGCAGTTTATAATAGAAAATAAGATAGATGGAAGAAGCGCAGAAAAATATATTAGAGAATGAACCAGAGAAAATGGAAATACTCCAATTAATCAAGCCTATGATAGAGATCAATTTGAGTATTATAATCGCTGATCTCCAATACTCTTTTTTAATTTATGAGGATTTCACAACACAAGTATGAAACTCAGTTTGCCGAAAGGTAGCCACTACCCCATTTTTCTGTTCGTTTCAAATATTTTAATACTTATCATAGACCAGTTCTGTGTATAAAGAAAATATTATGGTACCATAGTAATGAAGAATAACTTATTAAAAGCGTTACTGTAAAAATGTCACAACAAAAAGTCGAAAACAGAGTTGCACAATAAAATTTGAAAAAAAAAGTTCTTGATATTGTCTCTCCTAAAGTTGTCAACACTTCTGCAGGAATATCAGTTAGTCCAACAGCTTGTATCTTTCTTTATATTTCGAATCATTTGAGCAACTTATTTTGGTGTCACATTCTGTTGCAATCTCTGTTATTTTTAGTGGTTTTATCTAGTTATCTCGTCTTCTTTACCTCTTCTCGAACTTCATTTGACCATCACCAGATTTTTTATTAACAAATGAGGTATTTCAATGACAGTATTTCTAGTCTAGACTAGTCATATTTACCAAAATTGTATTAATCCTTTTTTTCATGTCCAAGCACATTTTTTCTACCATTTTTGCTCTGCTTAGACCTTTCTAATCTTTTAACATCCACCTTTTGATTTTTTGTGGTATTAACTGGCATGTTGGTTAGTTTTGTTTGTTTACTTTGATGTTCAGCACAAGCAACTTACAGTTGTTGGCTCACAGTCTCACTATTACCTTACAGTCCTTACATACACATATTCTCTTCTTCACTCTTATAAATAGTTATATAAACTTAATTGAAAAATCTTCTTCTTCAGCTTTCATTTATCCAATGTTGGACATAGGCCTCCTCCAATTGCTTCCACGCTTCCCTATCTTTTGCAATTCTCATCCACTGCTTTCCAGCTACAGCAGTTATATCGTCTATCCATCTCTTTTTAGGTCATCCTACGCATCTTTTTGTTTCTCGAGGTCTCCAGAATGTCACTTTATGAGACCATCTGTTGGTGTCTTGTCTTGCTACATGTGCTACCCATTGCCATCTCAATGTGGCTATTTTTCCCATGATGTCAGTTACTTTAGTTCTTCGACGTATTTCAGTGTTAGGAATTTTGTCTCTGAGGCTTATATTTAACATGGCCCTTTCCATGGCCCGTTGAGTTACTCTTAATTGTTCTGTCATTTTTCTTGTTATTGCCATAGTTTCCAATCCATAAGTTGCAACTGGTAGTATACAAGTGTCATAGGTTTTTCGTTTTAAGTGAATTGGATTTTTTTTTGCCTTTTAAAATGAAGCTCAACTTACCAAAAGCAGCCCATGATAATTGTGTCCTTCTTTTAATTTCTAGGGTTTGATTTTCCTTTTCGTTTTTAATTGCATGTCCTATATATATATATATATATATATATATATATATATATATATATATATATATATATTGTTCTACCTTTTCTTTGTTTAATTGAAAAATAGTTTCACTTTATTATGTGTTTGTAGACAAAAGCTATATATATTACAAGAAAAAAGTGACATTTTTGCTCTCAAGAGATAACTCCTACTTCCGATCAATAATATATCACTTTTGCTCTTAATTAACTATCTTAGTCGATTTGGTGATTGGTGATATTATTTTTAGTATTTTTTATTTTTTAGTACTTTGGTATACAATTAACCAAATCTGCACAGATAAACACATAACTTCTATTTTGAAGCTACTTTCAAATATCACACAAACATACATATCCAATTAAAAGATTACTGATAATGAATTTACGTGACTTCGAACTTTTCAGGCTTCGTTTTTAACTAAAAAATTAAATTTAGACGGCAATCGCGTAAATCTTTCCATATGGGATACTGCAGGCCAAGAAAAATTCCACGCGCTAGGTCCAATTTACTATAGGTCATCGAATGGAGCCGTTCTCGTCTACGACATCACCGACGAAGACTCCTTTCAGAAAGTGAAAAGTTGGGTTAAGGAGCTCCGGAAAATGTTAGGTACTGATATTTCTTTAGTTATCGTTGGAAACAAGAGTGATTTGGAGAAGGACCGGCATGTGGACGTGGAGGAGGCTAAAACGTAAGTAGATATTATTGTTACAATGGAATTTCTTGATATCTGCCTTAAAAATTGTTTCTAATAATGTTACAAGTAAATACTTGTAACATTTTCAAGGAGCGTCCTATATTTCTTTCTTTCGGTTTGTAATTTAGTATTTGTTTAGTTACACAATTTTTATTAATTCTGCCCACATGTTTGATGAGTCGATCGATGATTTTTTAAAAAGAAAAACGACTTTAAACAGTTTACAAGACTATGTAGCTGTTTCTGTTTACCAGAGTTGAAATGGAAGTGACACTAGAAAAATGTCTACACCAACGTAAGAACATACGTTTACAACGAACAACGTACACAACAAAGCATTTGTTTACTCGTTTTTATTTTTTTTTTAGTCGACAATATAAATTAGGAACACAGCGAAAGAGACGTGTTATTCGATCACAATTTTTGTAACAAATGGAAAAGTAAAACAATAAAACACGCAATGCGACTCTTACCAAAGGTCGGACTGCCCAATTGTGGCAGAATTTAATCTTTATGTTTTAAGTAATAAGTTTATTTTACCTAAACATTATGTTTGTTTCTTTGGCCTATTTCTTGGTTAAATAATTTGAGGTAGACGTAAAGTGGTATAAATACAATTCTGTTTTGACTTCAGAGCTGTACCTAACAAAAATAGCCGTGATGAGTACCAACCTGACGGTACCTAAAGAAGAAGAAGAGAAGCAGTCTTCTTAAAGGATCTATACATCTGCAGCAAATTGCACAATTAATTGTACAAAATAGTTGTTTCACAAACAATTATATGGTATTTTGTGACATGTAATCTCATAAAAATACATAGTGACTAGTTTTATACGATACTATTAATGACATAAAACACTCGGAAGAAATAAAAAATCGCGTCGTATTATAATTATTTTGTATTTTCTAGCGTTATTTGTTATGCCAATGACTGTTGACTCTAAAATTCGATGCATATTATATGTTACGTCATTTAAACAGCTGTCTTTTTTTTTGTAGATTCGCAATAATATAAAAATAGGTCATATTTACGGTCGCCGTTCCGCTTATAACAACGAATTCTAAAATTAGTTATTTTCTCATATTCCAGTGAGTGTAGGCTAGAAAAATTTGAATAGTTTAGTAACATTTAAATATTTTGTGAAAGGAAGAGTATAAATAATAAAAGGATTTTTGAGTAAAACATATAACACTTCTTCCTCTATATCCTTCCGTACCCACATATACAGGGTGTTTCAAAAATATAATGTCATAAATTAAATCACGCATTCCGGGGACAAAAATAAATTGATTGAATCCAACTTACCTTGGTACAAAAGTGTACACAAAAAAAGTTATAGCCCTTTGAAGTTACAAAATAAAAATTGTTTTTTGCATTATCTCCTAAACTACTTGACATTTTGTAATAAAAATGGACACGTTACTTTCTTGTTCTGAAAGCATTTTTCACATAAAAGAAACAACAAAATCTAAGCCCACAGAAAATTTTTAAGGAGGGTGTTCAGCCCTAAATCCCTCCAAACTTTTGAGTACGATCAAATCAAATGAATTTTATGATATCATGAGTTTAACACATTATTTTTAAAACTTTTTTTGCCTCTTATAACTTTTTCGAAAAACTAGTTTTTTCATAGTTATCCATAAAATTACATTTCCGATACATTTCAGGAAATGGCACATATGCATTTAACTTTGGGTAAGTTGGATCAGATTAAATTATGATTTCAATAAACTATCGGGAATATCGTAGGTGAATGTTAAGTAAATAGTTCAGCAGCAACAAGGCGTTATGCAGTAAAATACCCCAATCGAAATACACCCGATAGACGATTATTTCTGACCATTGATCGTCGTTTCAGGGGAAACGGGTACATTCCAACCGCAAGTCGGTGGCAATAGTGGTCATCCAATAATGGATGCAACTGATGAAAACATTTTAGAAAGCATTGGAGAAGTCCCTGGAACAACTAAAAGGGTAATAGGTGCTCAACTAAATGTTCCTCACGTAAGGGTTTGGAGGCGTTTGAAGGATCAGCTGCTTAAACCCTGTCACTTAACAACGGTTCAAGAGTTATTGGTTGAAGATTATCCTAAAAGAATTAGATTTTGCGATTGGTTGTTAATGGAAAACACTCGAAATGTTAATTTTATTAGAAATATTTTGTTTAGCGACGAGGCTACCTTCAGTAGAAATGGAATAACAAACCATCATAACGATCACATTTGGGCCGACGAAACTCCTCACGCCTAAAAAATTACTCATCATCAAAGGCTTTCAAACTTAATGTTTGGCAGGAATTGTGGATAACAATCTAATAGGCCCAGTATTTCTTCCCAACAATTTAAATGGTGATAATTATTTGCAGTTCTTGGCAAACGATTTACAAGAGTATTTACAAGAGTATTTGGAAGAAGTGAATATTGAAATAAGGCAAAATATGTGGTTTCTACAAGATGGCGCTCCACCGCATTACAGTAATGAAGTCCGGGAATACCTTTGCAGGCAGTTTCCTGGTTGGTGGATTGGAAGGGGTCGTGACGCACCTATTTCTTGGCCACCCAGAAGTCCAGGTCTTAACCCCATGGACTTTTGCTTTTGGAGGTTTATAAAAGAGAAAGTGTATAAGAATAATTGAAGCTGCAAATCAATTTCGTCAGAAAAATATGATTTTTCAGCGCATTCGGTTTTCCTTATTTAAACGATACCGAATGTGTATTGAAGAAAATGGGGGTCATTTTGAATATTTATTTTAATATCATATTTATAGAGGTTATAGACTTTTGTTTTTCTTATTAATTCATTTAAGCCATTTATTTAGTTGCACGTAATTTTTTAAAGGTTAATGAAAAATGCCGTAACTCAATAAAAACTGTGTTTTTTTTAACAAAGTTATAAAAGGCAAAAAATTTTAAAAATAATATGTTAAACTAATGATGCCACAAAATTCATTTGATTTGAACGTACTCAAAATTTTGGGGAGATTTGGGGCTTCACACCCCTCTTTAATTTTTTTTTGTGCGCTTAGATTTTGTTGTTTCTTTTTTATGAAAAATGCTTTCAGAATAAGAAAGTAACGTGTACATTTTTATTACAAAATGTCAAGTAGTTTAGGAGATAATGCAAAAAACAATTTTTATTTTGTAATTTCAAAGGGCTGTATCTTTTTTTGTATACACTTTTGATATGATTTAATTTATGACATACCTTTTTGAAACACCCTGTATATTTCTTGTACACCAAACACACTGGGGTGTGTCAAATCCCACCCGTTATATTTCTAATTTTTCACAAATATAGAAAATTTCAACAACTTTAAGATATTCCTAGGGATTAGTTTATTTAATATCAAGTTCTATATAAACAAGTAATGTTGTTATACATAAAAAAAATTATATTTTACCGCAAAAATCCCATTTCATACAAAAAAAATTGCAAAACTCAACATTTGTCAATACGAATGAAAATCCTGGGTTAAAATGAATTTATAAACAACTTATTAGTTTTATATCAGGGACATAAACAATAGAACATACATTTCATACAAATTAATCCTTTGTGTTCATTCTTTTTCTTAGAGTGCCGTCTCCCTACGTAGGTTGGCAATCACAATGGCTATTTTTGTTTTTGAACCTGCTGCTCTAAACAAATCAATCGATCTGCATTGATAGCAATCACGTAGATTCTTCAATCATGATTACTGCCTTCAGCCAACAGATCTTTTCCCTTGAATATTTCCCTGTATTATGAGTCTCAAAATTTCATATTTTGGTCTCCTCATCACGTGGCCTAGGTACTCCAGTTTTCTGGTTTGTATAGTGGTGATTAGTTCTGTTTCTTTACCAACCCTCGTCAGTACTTCTTTATTTGTAATTATATCAGTCCATGATATTTTTAATACTCTGCGGTATAATCAGACTTCGAAAGCCTCGATTCTGTTTAAATTGCATGTTTTTAAAGTCCTAGTCTCAGCTCAATATAATAGTATTGAAAATATATAACAGCGAATGGTACGTGGTCTGATCTCCAAATTTAGATTTTTGCACATTAAGAGTGGCTTCACTCGTATAAATGCTAATCTGGCAGTTTCTATTTATTGTAGTATTTTGCCTGTTTATTTCTGCAGTATGATCATTGGTTTCATTGATCAAAGTTCCCAAGTACTGATATTTTTCCACTTGTTATATCACGTTACCATTGATTGTCAATAGGTTTTTGTGGTCTTTTTGTAATTAGCATGTACTTCGTTTTTTTAGGGTTCATGGCAATTCCCATCTCAGCACTATTCATACTTAAACTTTCGATAACATCTAGATCTTCTATAGAAACTTCTTCTACAGAATATAAGTTAAATAAAAGTGGCGATAAAACACTTCTCTGTCTGACTCCTCTACAGATCTTCATTTCTTCTGAGTGTTGCCCATCAATTTGAACTATGGTACTTTGGTTCCAATATAATGTTTGCACTATATTTATGATTTTACTGTCAATGCGCTTGTTCATAAGTAATGATATTAGTTTTTCATGTCTTACTTTATCGAAAGCTTTTTCGTAGTCAACAAAGCATAAGTGTATATTAACGTTTACATCCCGATATCGCTGAATCAATATGTTGATTACAAATAGTCCTTCTCGAGTACCGATTCTATTTTTCAGAATCCGAACTGCGTCTCGCTAATATTCTCCTCTAGCCTTTTGTATATTCTCTTATGTATTACTTTCAGTAGTACTTTTAAAGTATGACACATGATGCTCAGTGTTAATATAATATAATCAGAGCAACTCTTTTGATGCTTGTTTTTTAGGGATGGTTATAAATGCTGACTTCAGCCACTCTTGTCGTATTATTCCCGTATCGTACATTGTGTTGAATAAATCTACCAATACTTCCAGGTTATCCTCTTCCACTAATTTTAACAGTTCTACTGATATTTCATCCAATCCAGCTGTCTTATTGTCTTTAGAGTTTTTGATAGTATATTTGATTTCATCTATC